GACGGTTAATATTACGGAGATGAAAGTAGGAAGACCGAGTGATATTATTTATGTGCTAGGACAGAGTGCTATCGAGAATGACACCAAGACTCTTAACCTGAGGGGAGGGTGTGACAACAGAGTTATCAATGGATAACTAATTATTTCTCCCTTTTGGAGGAAATGCCCTTATTTAGGTGGTTAGATTGCAATGAGCTATGATTTTATGTAACCACTGGCTTTTATTCAGATGCAGTCTAGTTATATTAGTTTCTACCCACAAAGTCTTTATTGTGGCTTACTGGATGATTTTATGAGAAGTAAAACAACAACACTGTACATCTACTGAAAGTTTTAAATGGAGATTTTGAACATAAAACAATAATGTTGCAACGTCATCATGAGTATAACTCATGCACGAATGAATTGGTCAACTCGGGTGAATTCTCTTGGCTTGTGGGTCATCTGCAACATGCTAGTGATCTGGGAGCTCCAAATGAATTCCCACCATCTTTGGCCATCTTACTTAGACTACGTCTGCGTTACACCCATTATTTCTCTCAAGTTAATCTGGCTCTATAAATAATTGCTGCTGTGAAAGCTCGGCTTGTTTGGTAATGTATAGAGTCTGCTCGAGCCTCCTGTGATTGTGCCCGCTCGTTGACATGATAGAATTGTACAGCTGAAGGAACCTTTCACATTTATATTTAATCTCCCAACTCTCATCCTTAATGCATGAGGAGAATGGGAGACCCCGACACCCCACCCCCCTACTTCGTGGTTTGGCCTGTTGGGAGAGGAAAGGAGGGGGATTAGAGCAGGATTAAGTCTGTGTGAATGGGAGCCACAATTATTCACTTCCACCATCAGTCAACTTTCACCCCTCTAACCGTTTAGTCTCTCTGCGAAACCCACAAAGACACGTGTTCGTGTTTTTTGTACGTTCTAAAACACATCAGAGTTTAAACTTTTTATTGAGAATTTAATCTTTTTGCCTGTAAAAGATTAAATTTTACCTGCAGATTAAGTTGTGTGTTCTCAGATAATGATTGAATCATCCGTCTTTCTTTGCATCCTTGATATAGAGAGTCAGTAGGTTATAGTCTGGGCATCCTTCAGCTGTGGGACACCAGCCAGTGTGTGAGGGCTTCTGTAGCAGCCAGCACTTTTCCTTGTACTGGACGTTGATTACAATTGCAGATAACATTTTTGAAAGCTAATAAAAAGCCAGATCATTGCCAAACAACAGCCTATGGTTTTGAGATTACATTGCGGCTAATGTATTTCCCTCCTTTGGTCGTATGCAGCCAAAGGTTGCTCAAATGCGATTTGTCATTAGTTCTTGTGCTACAAGACAGGAACTGGAGAATTTTCAGTACTAAAAATTGACCTCCTTGTTGACAGGTTCTTCATGTTCAAGTACTGAATTGGTTTATAGAGATTAGTCGATCATTCTGGTGCATTAGTGTGGTGACATTTAGCTTCAGCTACTCTAATAGCTACTGTAGTAACTTGCAGTTCTGTGCCAAAGATGCCAAAGATTCTGTGCTGATGTTCTTTAAATGAGCACTGCTGAAAGTTACAGGGTCTTTTTGTGGTTGAAAGGGTAGCGTCATCGAGAGGGAAATGTACTAAATTATTGCAGATTTCCACGACAAACCCCTTAAACTCCAACTTAATTTGAATTATAGCAGGATTAAACCATGGTGACCGGTAACTTTTTGCAGCATATGCAGTATGCCATATTAAAGCATTCTTGGGAAAAAATGCAACATTTTTGATGAACTGAAGACAGTTGAGGCCAAAATAATTAAAGTAGCCAACATTTCCTCTCAAGCTGTGAAACTGTGCAGTTCAGAAAGACAGGTATCGATTCTGATTTGATGTTTCTTAATTAAAAGTCACAGCCAAGTCTTGTGTTTTCTCAAGTTTCTGCTGTCACAACTTACTTTATCAATTTGTTGTTGGACCCCGTTGAACTTAACCAGCTAATCGATCGCGATCAACATTTTTCCTCGTTAATATCCTCTTAGGGTGTGTTTGTGAATCTCGATCGGTGAGCAGTTTGATACATTAGTTTCTACCTCTGTGTGAAATCTGTTGAATGAATGAGGGTGGGAGTTTCATCATCACTGCCTGATAACTGCTCCATCACGCAGAAATCAATAAGTATTTATCTGTAATGAAATTAGCAATCGCTCTCTGTCCTCCCTCTCACTTTTTCTCTTCCTTCTTATTCACAAAGAAGCACAACAAACAGCAAAGAGTGTTGCTCAACAATAAGATTGGCGAATTCTCCTTCTGTTTATGGATGATTGTGTGGAATTTAGTCAATAGCATCAAAACAGACTTAATACATGGAATACATGTTGTCTACTGGTCAATATGCTTATATAGCTGTACTTAATAGTAAATGGATTTCACTTAAATGCTCCTTTAGTCACGACTTAAACCTCAGGCCTGACTCATTATGTGCATGTGAATGATACAAAAGCACACTTTGTAATTAGAATCCTGCTATTTAAGTGTCACTAATAGGACTATTAACGCTCTGCGACAAATTTATTAGGGTTCTGTAGTTTTAGACAGTACTTTAGCCGAGTGCTGTCAGATTCTTTTTAAGTGTATGTAAGGGAGACTGAATCTGTAGGGCAAAGCTAACAGGGTTAAACAAAAGTGAATGGATTAATACTGGTCCTAATTGGGCTGATTTCCTCTCATGGCCAGGTTTTAGTCCAAGAATTCATGCATAAATAATAAATAATTTCCTAAATGGCTTTTGCTTCACTACCATCTGTAGCTCTAGTTTTTGAGGATGAGCTCTTTCTCATTCCAGGTTCAGGGGAAAAGGTGGCTGTGCACAGGCTGGCACACTGTGCGGAGTGGAATGCAGAATAATAAGCGCACTTGAAACTAATTTGCCGGTAAAAATGCAGTAAAGAACTGGCAGGTAGATTTGTCTGCAAGACACTTTGATTTTACAATGCACCTACTGTTTTCTGCGAGAAGAGTTTCTCAATTTAAGAAAACAAAACAAAACAGTGTAGTGGTCTAGTGAAACATGTAAGTGTTTGATTTTTAAGTTCACAATATAGCAAACATATTTCACAAAATTGCATTTTAAAAAGCATCCAGATAAAACAAGAAATGTCAGAATAGAAAAAATAGTTAATTTTGAATACAACGCATGTTAAGAACAAGCCTTTACACTTTTTAAACTCCACCCCTCTATATGGATGTGGTTGTGGAGGCCAGCAGGCCTATTAGAAGAGGTGGGGGGTGGCGTACCCCCAGACTCGACGTCTTTAATATTGCATGTTGGTACCCTGGCTCCGTGCAGCCTCGCCTAGCTTCAGTTTGGCTTGGTGAGTCTTTTCCCACCATAGGTTATACGCTCAGACTTAAAATGAGTGTTTATGTGTGCGTTTGGAAGGCAAGTGCTGTCTGATGTGACGATGGAGGAGGTGTGCTGTAGGTTCGCAAAGTGTCGCAGGAGGACGTCCTCCCTCACCCTGACACTGCCCCGGCCCAAACTGGTAAGGCTTGAGATTTTAAAGATCGTCTGGGTTGCTCCCGGTGCAGAGAGGGGAGCACGGACATTGGTCCGCCTGCACATAAAATTGAGGTTAAACAGGTTTAACGAAATGTTTTTAATTCCTCAGACTCACACTCTGTCATCCTCATCTGAGTTTAGGCCAGTTCTTTTCTTTTCCCACAGCTGTTTAGTAGATGCAACATTTGTTTTCTAATTCTGAGCCTCTCCAGCCTTGATTTAATAGACTTGTAGTAAAATCAGCACCTGACATTTCAGACACTGGTGTTTGTTTCCAGTCTCGCAGAGCTGCACGGTCTTTGATCGAAGAGTGCCGCCATTCTCAACTTCACTAAGAACTTTTTTCTATTTTATTTTCCCTGAAAATCTCTACATTGAGGGGCATTTTGTTGTTTTTGAAGCAGGTTTCCTAGTGATGTGTACTGTGATGTGCATTTGGGAATTATTTGGCGTCCAGTTAATACAAATTTCTCTAAAGAGAATTGGAATTCACAATATGGAAACTCGTGACTCGTCCCCCTCTGTGCTTGAAGTGGCTCTGTGGTATGTGAAGCGTCTCGGTTCAGTGCAAACTGAAGGCTACGCAAATGTTTATAGGTTACACCGGTGAGGTTGCTGGTTCTGCGCCTTTGCGCTCAGTTAACACTACAGCACTTTGATGCTCTTGCCTTTGGAAGCCTCTTGACTGTTTGAATGACAGCTTTACCTCATTCTGTATCTGGATTTAGTGTTATTGGAGAGCGAGCTCTCAGCAGCTCAGATTTTGAGTGTATGTGGGCAATTTTCAGCAAACGTGATAACAAAATAAAAACAATATTGATTTTGTTTGTATCAAAGCTCACACGTCTTTGTGGAAATTGTCTTCTTCTCTGGAAGTAGACACATTTATGTATTTACTGTCTTTTTTGTTGCTTGGTGTATTTTCTGATTTAATTGATTAACTTGGAGTTTCATGCATGTGCTTTTGTGCTTATTTCTGCCTTTTTTGGAGGGAGGGAGGGGGTAAATACATTTCCATCTGTTGAAGTTTGAGTATTCATCTGTGTCCTTGTGTGTACTCTGTACATGTGTAAGCTGTCTGTGTAACGAGGAAACCAGGATTTACTGTTTAATTGTTTTTGTTGAGGTCACTCCAAAAATATCAAAGCAACCTCCAAACCTTCACAGTGTACCAGATATCGTATCTGTCTGCACCCCGGCTCATAATTCACTGCAATGTGAAATATCCTGAGCTCCATCGTCTTCAGGTTAATTAGCCCGGAGCATGTGAAACCAGCTGTGGCTTTCAGCCTGATGAAACAGCTGTGTGCGCGCGCGCGTGTGTGTTTGTCACTGTTAACTGTGTCTGTGCGTGTGTGTGTTTGCCTCTTTTGAACCTTGTGCATGTTTGCCTCAGCTGAACTCATATCCTCTTCAACCTCTCTGTTTGTCTTCTTCTGTATCTCCCACTTCCTCTCTGTCTGAGCAGCTTCCTGCCGATCTCAATAAGATGCACCTAACAGACCATGCCCACCAGCAGGTGATGCACATGCCGCCCAGCCAGTCGGGATGCAGTATCGCCAGTGACTCGGGTAGCAGCAGCCTTTCAGATATTTACCAGGTGGGTACCTCCCTGTTTATGGTAAAAGTTTATTGTATTTATTTGCAAATAAACCCACACATAAATATGGATTTATGGATACAAATTTCCACAAAGCTGATTATTTTTCCCTTTCATTTTGCCAAATTCCTCTTCTCTTTCCTTTAATTGTTCAAATTCATTATAAAAAGTCAGTATTATGTAAAATAGGATCCAGCCAGTCAGTTAAAACTACTCTTGTCTCACAAATTACTTGAAGTATCCTCATGCTTTTACTGCAAACAAGCTTTTAATTGAATGAACTCTTTCCAGTCCTGTGATTAAAACCCTGTCTACTGTTTCTGGTCGCGTGTTTTGCTGAAAGGTGAATTCTCTCCATCTTCATGTGTTCTCAGTTTATCAATCAACCCTCCGCCCACCTTCCTTCTAATCCTTTTTGTCTCTCTAATTATTGTGCGTCCTGGTGACTCGTCCCCCTCTGTACTTCCTGCAGCAGATTAAAGGTCACATGTAGAAAATGAACCTAACACTTACAGCTCCATCTTTAGCTGAGCTACAACAGGTAGAACAGCTCAATCTACATAAGGGAAATTCCTACGTGTAAAAGTAAAATAGCCAAAGAAGAGCCTTTGTCTTTGTATCTGTCTAACATTCCTGCAACATTTTTGGCAGTTGAGCAAGCTTTTAAGTGTAGACTGTGTGAGTGATTGCAAATCAGTAACCCATAAAAGCAAACATAAGCTTTCCATGTAATCGTTTTAATCCCTTAGCTCTCCTAATCCCCCCTCTTTACACAGAAAGTTGCACTAAATTTAACATTTCGGCACTGTCTTTCAGCTATCTTCCCCCCACTTTACAACCTACATGCTATATTCTGCACACGTCTGTGAATATGTGTATAGACGTCCTTTTTGACAGTGGCTTGTTAGTTCTGCTGGCTTTAATGGGAACCAGCGTGGCCTGTTTGCCACACACTAATGAGTTAGTTGATGTGCTGGTGCGATCTGTGGGCTCTGCTGGCCACAAAACTAATTTGTTTGTTTCACCCGGGAATGTTAATGCAGCTTATGTTTTTTTTCCTAGGTTCCAGTACATACTGTAAATGTTACAACAACGCATAACAAAACGTTCGCCAACAAGATAACGTTGGTGAAAGATAAGGTTAGGTAACACGGGAGAGTGATCAAAGCAGACAAACTGAGGAAATCGCCACAAATGACTGTGAGGGGGGGGAGACTTGCTGAATTAAAAAAATAAATAAAATGAAATCCTACCCCCTTTCTTTCTCAGGCTGTGACTGCAGATTGATGTAAGTCAGGTCGGCCCGGGTCAAACGTTTAACACAGAGACTCACTCTGTTCATCCTCAGATTAGATATTTATCACACGCATCTGATCCCATCACTTGTCGCTGACCCGGCTCTGTGTTTGTTTACAGCTGTCTTAAAGTGCTGACCCTTCACTCAGCTGTGATCCTCAGCTGTCAGTGCAGCAAACGCTATCTGTTGTGGGTTTTCTCTTACACGTTCTTTTTGTTTTTTCCTCCTTCCGCTCCCTCTTTTATCTCGGCTTAACACTCAGCAGCTCACCTCCCTCTTTCTCCTCATCTTTTCATCACTTTCTTTAACTCCTCGTAATCCTCTCTTATGCTTGTTCGTCTCCTGGCCGTGGTATATCCTGAACCTTTTTGCCTCCTTTCTGGGGATGGGACGTGGTAAAATGCAGTGGTTCGTGTAGATCTGATGCCACATTTCTAAGAAATGTCTCCCTGCCTCAGACTTGATCTGAGACCAGGGGTATTGGCCTGAAAGGGCAGACAATGCATTCTGAATGAACTGGGCTCTCAGAAGCACTGACTGATATGTCGGTGAGGAGGAAGAGAATGAGTTTTTGTCTCTTTTTACCCCTTTTCTCCCACACTACCTACAATGTTTCTGTTAAAAGGGTTTTTGCATTTTGTCTTAGTCTCTGAGACATATTAACTGCATGGACTAATAATTAGAAGGGAAATAAAGTTTCCTATGTTAGATCTTGTACAGTTAATTTTAAAAAATCTGCCTTTCGACAGTTCAATGTGTTAAAGATGCTCCATATACTGCCGTGTCATTTAATTATTACAAGAGGAGGAAAGCACGTTTTAAAAAGTTCAGCTGCACATCTATGTTCGCATACGTTTCCTGGCTTGTTTTTTTTCCATCTTATATTCAACCAGATTAAATTCATCTACTATCCGGGAACAGGAAAGGTCTGAGGAGCAGGTGTGTTTTAAAAGTCCTCTAAATGGCTTCTTCAACCTAATTTATAAAAACAACAGCAGGCCTGAACTTTGAATGGACTATTAGCTCAATACCCTTGGGTTGGAAAAACATAAAAAACACTTTGGCCATGTCCCAACTATCCATAGAGCCTAAGAGCTTGATTGTATTGCTAGCTGGCAAGGCCATCTTACAATCTATAGACTAGGAAATTCACTTTTCCCCACCAGATATCAACAGCTAATATATCTCTGCCTGTCTTTTCAACTGTAAATCCAAAATGTAGAAAGAATGAAGATGAAGGAAAAACGAATAATGTAGCTGAGCAAATGAAGAGATAAACGCACAATAGTTACTGATAAATTTAGGGTAATATTGTTGGGATTTTTTTTTTGTTCAAGCTAAGGCTAATTAATATGTATTTTGCTGGCCACTTTATTAGGCACACCTTACATTTAGTATTGTATGACCACTTTGGCCTTCAGAACTGCCTCAAATTCAACAAGGTGCAAATGTTTCTCAGAGATTTTGTCCATGTTGAATTGGTTGCATCACAGAGTTGCTGCAGATTTGTCGCTTGCACATCCATGATGCAATTCCCATTCCACCACATCCCCAAGGGGCTCTCTGTCTGGTGACTATGGAAGCTATTTGAGTACAGTGTTCTCACTGTCACGTTCAAGCGCTATTCTGTTAGAAGCATCAGTTGGAATATGGATATAAAGATCAGATACTACGAGGACCAAAGTGTGCCAAGAATATACTCTCCCCACACACACACCTTTACACCCTCACTAGCAGCCTGAACCGTTGACACAAGTCAGGATAGATTCATGCGTTCATGACGTTTACACCAAATTCTGACTCTGACATGTTAACCTCGCTGCAGAAATCACATTCGTCTGTAGTCCATCTGCTTCTAGGATCACCATGTGTTCAGAGGTGCTCTTCTGCATACCTTAGTTGTAACGAGTGGTTATTTAACAAAATATCTCTTTTTCAGTAAACAGGATAAATGCTGGAGGTCTAAGTGAATTATGTGGCTAAATGAGCACATGTATTCACATTATTTTGGAAAGCAGACAGAAGCAGGGGTTAAGTCAGGCTTAGCTCTCCAGCTTTTTTAGGCCCACCTAAAAAAGCTAACAGACGGCCGGTAGCGCTGCCACTACCACCAGAGAGCTCCTCGATTCACCTTTAGTTGACGGTTCAATTCCCAACTGACATGAATGGCCTCATGCCCTTTTAGATCCATACTCTTCCAACCATCTGTCTGCCTCACAGAGGAGAAATGCTGTGAAATATGAATTATGAGTGAATGGATTTAAATATTTGGCTGTTGGCCTGGTTTTTTGTAGTCTGGCACTTGGTGTCTGGGTGCAGCTCACGGTCGCTGCTACAGCTGCTTTTTCCAAGGTTATCCTTTTTTATGTTTCGTGCGAGTAAATTGTTACTGAAAAGCCGTCAATGCTAGAAGTTATGAACAATAAGGCTTTTTTTTAGTCTTTATGTCATCACAGTCGCACGTCTTTCATGCTCTTCATTTTTTCAATAATTGCAAATAATTGGTCACCGTGTTGTGCTTTCTAAACTGTCTTGTAATGGCATACTCCTCTTTACAAGGCCTGAGAGGACTCTTGTCATTGTAAATATCAATACCCCCAATTTGAATTTCTAGGTCACGTTATTTTGGGAATTGGAAGCTCGAGAATGATGTGAGAGCCGAGCCATTTGACACTGAGGCGATTTTAGCCCCATCAAAAGCGATTGAATTTCATAATTTAATCTTTTTCATAAGCCATAAGAAAGGAGCCTTCACATTTAATATGTAAAATGTTCAATTCATTTGTCATTTAATTGAGACATGATGGACTTCAAAGACTTCTTCCTTCCTTTTTTTAATGTTACTAACCGACCAATATTCAATTTTTTTTGTTCTTTGTGTTTTGCTCCCAGGCCACAGAGAGTGATTTGGGGGATGTCGACCTTTCTGGACTTCCAGAGGCTGCAGTGGACAGTGAGGAGGAGGAGGAGGAAGATGAGGACCTGGAGAGAGCTTCGGACACTCTCCTAGGCCGAGATCTGGTCCGAGAGTGTCTAGAAAAAGATCCTGTCGACCGCAATGACGACGACATCGGTCAGTTTGACAACTTTGATTTGATTGAATTGGGATAAAAGTGACTTAAAATAAACTGACAGATTCGGGCTGTCTCAGTGGCTATTTTTAGACTCATTTAGTACAGAATGAGAGATGAGTGATATACAAATTTCCCTCTCTCATAAAGACCCCTTGCAGCTGTCCCCAAACACCAGTCTGTATTTTCAAGCAGGCACTCAGAAGCAACCTCATTAACAGAACCAAGTGGGGTCCTAAAGGAGGGTCTTGCATCAGAGAGCTGAGAGAAGCAAAGGCCTGGCCTGCTGCGTGCCTGCTGGGAGGCTGGCCTTCTCATGGCCTTCAGCATTACAAGCACAGCTCATTGAGAGGAAATACCTGACACAGAGAACAACTGAAGGGATAACAGGCTGAACCCAAATTCAACCAACTCTTATTATTCTATTTCACGTCATTAGTTACTTTTTTGATGCTTTTCAGAAACTCTCTGAAAGAATTTTCCTGAATAAACAGATAAAAATATTTTCGCTGGGCTTTCTGGGCTTTAAAAAGACATTTTTCCCAGGCGGTTGATGAATACGTCCTTGGGGCTGATGAGATGGTTAAAAGAAAAATAAAGCAGGAGAGGGCACTTATAGTTTCGAAAATCAGGATCTTTGTTTTTCTCTCTCTTTTTTTGGAACTTCTATTACATTTTTCACCTTTGTTGGCCCCTAAAAATGTAATAAATTACTATAAAGGGATAACTGATGTAATATTTAATTTTTTTTAATATATCACAAGATAGAGAGGCTGTAAACCAGATTTAAGGACAATTGGCAGTCATCAAAATGAACCCTCTGGTACCCTTTAGAGTTTTGGTGCTTAGCTCCTAGTGTTTTTTTTAAACGTGATAAATCTACATTTTATGATCGTTTTCCTCCCATGGAAAACTCTATACGCGTTGCACTTTAAGCTACTTTCCTTTACTAAGAAAAGGGAAGATTTGAACGAGGTGTTAACACCAAGAGGAGTAAAAAGGAGCTACTGAGCCAAGCAGCATAGTTTGCAGGTTGGAGCTGGGTCACTGTGCTCTCAGCTGCAGTGCAGAGGAGGCAGAGGGAAGATGAAGAGGAAAGGTAGAACTTGTAAATGTTTCTGAGGAGTCATAAAAACTAGTAGTGCGCGCTGATCCACTTGTGCTTGGAGGGGTTAGATTTAAGACTTAAGAGCTGATGTGGAGGCATGTTTGCTGTTTGTTTGTCAGCAGCAGTGTGCCAACGCTCAAGCCCAATTTAATAAGATTTAGAGATTAAAATTTTGGTGTGCAATGCAGCATTGTCCTTGGAATTCTGCAAGTCCTCTTCTATTTTTTTTTTTCTATTTTAATCACGAGTTTTTACAGCATTTCAGAGCACCAAGGGCTGAGACGACAAGCATCCTAAAATGTTTTGTGTTTGTATTGACATTGGCAGTTGCTCTGGTGAAGTATATGAGTAACATTTTCTTGCAGACCATTTAAAAATCTATAGATTGTTTTGGAAATGTTGCAGTTTGTCTGTGGTGGGGGAAGAAGAAAAAAAATCAATGTGCATTTTGCCCTGAACACCTGAGACACATCGCTTTAGTCAGTGCACGGTCTTTTCATGCTTGTTCCTCCTTCTTTTTCATTTGACTTCTTCTCTCTGCTGCTTTCTTTTTGTGCAACACAGAGCAACTGCTGGAGTTCATGCACCAGCTGCCTGCCTTTGCCAACATGACCATGTCCGTGCGGAGGGACTTGTGTAGCGTCATGATGTTCGAAGTGGTGGAGCAGGCCGGCACAGTCATACTCCACGACAAACAGGAGGTATGAACAGGGTGAAAAGGGACACACAGAAGCTGAACAAGTTCTATTTAACCTTCAGAATTCAATTCTTCAACAACAACTAGTGGTATTCATTTTTCACCATCCTATTTTGCCACTTTACTGACTTAGATTAATTGCTTCCAGTGTAATTACAGCATGCAAAGTATGTTTTTATTATATCTGCTTTGATAACACACTAAATTCCCTTAACAGTTAAATGAGTGTTTATCTTTACTCAGTCTGACACAAGGTCTGTTTGCTGAGTTGCTGAATCTTAATTGGGCAATTAATGTAATCACAGTAGAAAAAAAAATCTTAACTTTGCCTTTTGTTATCAAGCAGAACAGTGATGTAACCTTTGAAAAGACATAAATAAGTGCACACAAGTATTAAACAGTTGCAAACACGCCAACGTACCCATTATGGAAAGCAGTGATGTAGATGTGGGAGCATATAAAGGCCTTCACACATACGAAAGAAGAACATATACGGAGCAACGTGCGCTTTCCCGTGCACAGGTGCACACACATCCTCGCCATCCTAATTCACGAGGCAAAACTGGTATGTGCAAAGTCACCGCAGCATATAAGCCCCGTCAATCACTCGAGCTGCTACACAGCTAATTAATTAAGTTACATGCCTGAGAAACGGGGGCCCTGTCATGGCTGTTTGGTTACATGCAGCAGCATTAGAACTGACAGGGTGATAAATGGCAATGAACTGCCAGCCGCCGAGCTCGGAGGAGGACGGGAACACACATCAGCAGGGCAAAACCATAAACGCGCACTTTAGTGGAAAGAAGACACAAATAGGTGATGTGCGTCTGTGTAACCAACTCCGTACCGTCTGTGTCGAGGCAGTTGATGGGCATTTTTCCTCCACTCCACTGCCTCTCTGTGGACTCTGTGTTGAAGGTCAAAAAGAAGCACTTGGCCCTTCTCGGAAGTGAGCATGACTTTGCTAAGTGAGTGTGAAGAGGGAAAGGAAAATAAAGAGTCTAAAGTGGTATTACAGATGTAGAAAAGAGAGAGAAAGTGCTCCATATGCTGGAAAGGAAGCGAAAATGGACAATGGGGGAGTCGAGGGAGCGTCGCATGGAAAGACGCTTTTGAAGAAGAAGAATTTGTCCTTATGATCAGGGGTTAAAGTGGGATTTTGCATGCGAGAGAAACCTCAGTGCAGCTCGAGGAAAAGAGTGACTTAGAAAATAAGTCGCATATTCGTTTGTTATGGGAGCTTCAGTAGATTTTTCTTTGTGTACAGGCTGTAATTAGCTGTGCTGCTACATGCAACCTTTGAATAACAGAAGTAAACGTCTTATAGTACATTTCTATACTTCTTCATAGAATGAGTTAAATGCTAACAAACAAAATGAGCTCCATTCGTACAACCTACCCTACTACTTGGTTACATTGTATGTTTTGGGTGGCTGTGGCTACAATGTAGCTTGCCATCACCAGTGTGTGAATGTGTGTGTGTGAATGGGTGGATGACTAGTAAAGCGCTATACAAATACAGGCCGTTTACCATTTTCTCTTGCTGGGAGAACTGTACCTTTTAGCTAGCAGACACATTGTGTGACAAACTGCGCGGAACCAACTTGCGTGTTTGGCGATTTTTGATGAGCTGTTTAAAAAGATGTCCCTCTGTTTATGCACGCTCCTCTTCAGTCGGGCTTGCTAGATACTTTAGTCCGGCAAGGGCAACTTCACATCTACACCATGAGCGCATCACAGGGATGCAAAGGTAAAAGAGAGGTGTTGAAGGTATAAGTGGGGCCTGGGGATGTGTCTGTGCAGTCAATGGAAGCAATGACATTTTAACTCATACCACAGTAATATGTATTAACCCGCATTTCAGACTTAATTACTCATTTCCTGGCGGGGTTAGAACGCCACTCCAGATTGATAATAGGAAATAAGAACATTTTCCCTACCCGTGCAGGCTTCATTACTCATAGCAATAAATTCAGATGGGCTATCCTACAGGAAATATTATATTTGTGTAAAGTTTATTTAAAAGAGAACTTTTCTTCACAGCGCATGTGTTGCGAATCATCGTAGCCCACCTTATTAGCATTTTTATTATTTATTAGCATTAGAAATTGATGTGGGAGCCAAACTGTGAAGCACAGAGGGTAGAATCGGAGATTTGCTAGGTGAGAAACAGCAAGAGAATGAAAAGGCAATGAGGAGGAAATATCAGTTATTGCTGCAGAGGGAGCCCAGGGCTCATTCACCCGCCCTCTGTCCGCTCACACTCAGGATGAATGGCTTGTTATATTATGCCTGCTAGCATTTCCTTTTCAAAAGCCACCACTAGAGACACAATACCTCTTCACCAGCCTACTCATACCTCACACAAAGCACATTATGCTCACAATTTACCACATTTAGTAATGTATTGCCATTTTAATAGACGTTCTAGTGAAGCTGTAAAGGTCTGTAAATCTAATGATTCAAGATAAATCCATGCCAAGTGACGGTAATGATTCCTTTTTGCTCGTCTGCGGTCGAGCCAGTATGTATTTAACACTGGTTTTAACAGATGTACCCATTTTACCCTGTTTTGATAAAAGAAAAGTAAAAAAAACCACACACATAGAAATCAGCAATGCTGTTAGATTTATAATCTCTTCAAGCAAAACAAAAGTTTGACATTGTTTATTTTTTGGTCATTTTAAAAATTATTTCTATTATTTCTACCCCTCCGTCTGTAGCTGGACCACTGGTATGTCATTCTGAACGGAGCAGTCGAAATTAGCCATCACGATGGGAGAACGGAGACTCTTTGTATGGGCAACAGCTTCGGCATCTCACCCTCACTGGATAAGCAGTACATGAATGGAGAGGTTCGCACCAAAGGGGATGATTGCCAGGTAAAAATAATCGATTTTTACACTGTTACAATTACACTTTTTATCATTGCTTTTATACACTAAGAGAACTCTGTGAGGGGTTTGTGTTTTCTTTAAAATCTTGCTGTGTTTAAGCATTTTCTGGAAAATGTGTGTCACAGTGCGAGAATCACAAAGTGAAGTCCTGCTTTCATTTCTTCTTTCAAGCGCCCAGTAGTGGTTTGCAATCACAGCGAAATCTACGTGTCAAAAGTACGCTTTCCCTTCTTTCATAATCTTCTTATAAAAAGGTGGAATGAGTAAATAAAAAGAGTTCAAATTTAATACAGCATTTTAGTTGTGAAGACACAGGCGTAGCTTGCGTCATATCTTTCACATCGCATACACTAGCAGCCTTTCTAAGAGCCTTGTGGGTTTCACAGAGAAACTTGGTCTTAATATAGAGCAGGAACCTGAAAGGTAGAAGAAACCTAGCGTGTACTCGCGGTAACATTGCCTCTGTCCACACTGGCCAGTTCCTCTGCTGCACACATCATTTCCTGTCTTTATATGCAAAGGAAGTTGCAGAGGTAGGGCTTGGTTAGGCAAATGCAGAAACTGATGATTTACTCAAGGGAAGGCATAGCAAGAGACGATGCTTTAGAGTAGTAAAGACTCGTGCCGTCTTGTCACCATGGTGTAATGGCAGGTTAGTTTAGTGGGTGTCTAATTTATAGCAAAGGATGCTTCTGCAAAATAGCTAGCTGAGATGATTTTGGACCACCATAGGTACTTTAAATTTAGGCAGAGTATCGGGTTTAGTTTTGTTAGTGTTGGACGTTCCTACCTTCATCCGTTCGTCCCTCCCATGCCTCTCTCTACCATCCGTAATTCTACATCTGTGCTGTTGTTTGAATACCCGAATGTGGTGCAGAGCAGTATTTTGCTCTACTACAAGTTCATCCGCTGTCCTCATGTTATCCTCGACCAGTTTGTCTGCATCGCCCAGGAGGACTACTGGCGCATCCTCAACCATGTGGAGAGGAATACGCACAAGGTGGAAGAAGAGGGGGAGATTGTGATGGTGAAGGAACACCGGGAGCTGGACCGCAGCGGGACCAGGAAAGGACACATTGTCATCAAGGTTAGTAATTTAAAACGTTAAAGAGCAGCAGAGGGGTCCCAGAACAAGAGCCTGCTTTGCTTTTTGTGTGAACCCAACCTCAACCGCAAAAGATGTTTGAGGTTCAAACGTAGGATCAAGACAGAGTAGCACTCTTTGTTTTTCTTTAACTGACTCGGTGCCAAAATACAATTAACCTTTTGCAATAACATACTCTAATAAAGATGAGACAGGCAGAGACACGCTGAAGGATTAACACCCAAGGTCAAGGTTAAGCTTATAATCATGCCAGAAGCTAATAAGCACGTTTAATCTCACCCTGAGCTTGTAACATGACTTGCTTCTGAAACCAGAAAGTCAAGGTTTCACACGTTATCATCTGCTAAAAGAAATACTCAAATGCCCCGTGATTGATTTAAGTACATCATCATTACAAATCGACCATCCCCCTCACATGCATCATCTTACAAAAATACGAGTGTAGCTGCTCGATGTTGTTCAGTGATTGTTAAGAGACAGAGTTAGCACTATTAGTGTTTGCCAGAGCTTTTTTTTTTTTTACGCTACATTGTAATGCCTTCCTAAACCCTTTTGATCCTTTCCCTGAATCTCCAGAGGCAGCCCAAGGTATTGATCCGATAATGGGCATGAACGATTCTCTTGGCTGCTGCTCCAAGGAAAAGCTGCTGGCTCTGAAACACGTCCAGCGGATAAGAGTCGATTCACAAGTGTTAGCATTTCTGCTTCTGTTTTTGGCTTTGTTCTTTTTGTGTCTGACAAAAGTGGATTCTTTTCTAGTTTCTGTTCCCTGTCAAATGAAACATCCCCCCCGAGAAACCTCTGCTATGGTGGCATTAACAATAACAAACTCACAGAAACAAGAACAGTGACGTTTATACGTCACCGATACTTTAAGTCTGCTGCTTAGGAAAAAAAAATTCCCCTAGACACAGAAATCAGGAATGTAGCCTCGGATATTTGAGGTATTTTATTCTTATACAAATCTAAATTATCAGTAATTCTGCAAAAAAAAGCATTTGCACTTGTAAAATACTTGTTCTGTGTGTGTGTGTCTTTTTTTATTCATGGGACACTGACAGCTCTGTTCAATACCTGCACCTTTATAGCTTATGTCCTTGTCACTATTCTGATTGATATTGACACAGCTTGGTGTTCTTGCCTCTCAGATCCGTCGTAACCTTGGACTTTAACTGTCTTACATGTGTATTTATGTTTTTCTCAGCTCATCCTTATGTATATATATTTGTGTGTGTGTGTGTGTGTGTGTGTGTGTGTATTTTTCACCCCAGGGAACACCCGAGCGTCTGATCATGCACCTGGTGGAGGAACCGTCGGTGGTCGACCCCACCTACATCGAAGACTTCCTCCTGACCTACAGGACATTCCTTTCAAGTCCCATGGAGGTTGGCAAGAAGCTGCTGGAGTGGTTCCAGATGGACAGCCTTCGTGACACGGTGAGTGTGTGTATGTGCGCATACATGTATGACTATCTTGTGGCCGGTGGTCACTTTCTCGCGCACCTTCAGATTTCTATTTGAGTGCCATCACTTGAAAGGATGGTAACCTGTGTCCGTTGGGGTTGCGTTGGGCAGTTGTAATTGGGATGGTTAAGATGTAGGTAAGGAGCTTTCTCATACTTTTGCATGGTGTATGGAGAGATGTGTGAATGCTTTCACACAGTATCAGTAGGTGTGAAAAATGTAAAAAGCCACAAAGTCTGGAAATGGCAAAGCATTAGCATGTGTAGACGCTGCAAAGGTGAAAATGCTTATACAGTTAAAACGGTCTACATTAATCATTCATTATACGGTGGTACTCTAAATGGCGGTCCCTCTTGATGTTTTGCATCCATGCATGTTGATGGAAATCCACGTGTTGTGCCTCGGCCACGCCGATCAATACGAGTTCAGCAAGCTCAGCCGTCTTTGAGCACTGTAGCGATTCGTGCGTGCCTGACACTCCCGTCGTCCACAGCTACGTTAACCTAAGATTAGCCTTGTACAGTCGATAGTCTTTATGCGGTTGTCATTCAGGCTTATAATCTTCAGCCCCCTTAAAGAGGAACTAATCTTGTAGAGAACGAACACAGAGCGAGAGAGAGACAGAATATGGAAGACGAGAAAAGAGAGCATGAGCATAAGTTGCCTTGGAGACACGCACACACACAAACACTGGCACAAAGGAGAGTGAAAAGCAGAGTGTGTACATCGATCCTCTTTATTGATGCATTGTGTTCTACTCTGACCTTTTGCAAAGGTTAGAACAATGTTCCCACCCGTGTAAATTTACAGATGTTATTATTTCCTTCTGCCTTTTTTCCCTTCTAATTATTGTGGCAGAAATTAAGCCGTCAACTAGTAGTTAACAGCTTTTCTCTACAGCCATATGCTCGTTATTATACAGCCTCTGTTTCTTATGCGTTACTAATTACTATGGTTTTTCTTTCTTTCCTCAGAAGCTAAAGATAGATACCTCTATAATTGGACTGAAGAATTAACCGAGTTTGCATTTTGTTATGGTAACAGTCATATTTTTAATCTGAAGCTGTAGGTTGTAATTAATAGACTCACATTTCCAAGCATTTCGCCTCCCAAAGTGTCCTTGAAAGTCTAACTCCTGGTAGAGTTCAATTCAAGATGATCTCTGACTTTAGCAAGCAGCATAATTATCAATCACATTTCCTGTCGAAGCTCAGCTGAAGGACTTTGGAGAATGTGAAATGTAAAAACACATTCACAAGACCTACCTTTGTGTGCTTTGTCTCGCTGTTTCACAGGTAACAAGAATAGTGCTGCTGTGGGTCAACAACCACTTCAACGACTTCGAGGGTGACCCGGCTATGACGCGCTTCCTGGAGGACTTCGAGAAACATCTAGAAGCGACAGTAAGATCAAATAAAGACTGTTGACTTATTCTCCAATTCAGTGCTTTTAAGCTCAGAAATCGTGTTAAACAGCCATCAGCGTTTTCTCCAATAGTAATAGTGATGTTAGCTTTTATTTACCTCAGCTGCACGCTTGTGTAATTGGCCACATTTTGGCACAATGTCTTGTTTTGATGTGCTCGTTGATTTGCCCTATCAAAGTTCTCGGATTAGCCTTTAAATAAACACTCAACACCTCCCTGCCCTCTAGCAGAAATCCTTCATCGCATGCAATAACAAAGACATCAAAAATTATTTAAATGCTAATTCAGAACAACAAGTTCTTGAAAGTAACAAGTCTGTCTCTGTGAACTCATTAAATTATTTATGCACTTTTTCCTCAGCTTTTATTGCTGAAAATGTAAAATATATTTCAAATATTAAAATCATCATGGTCATAACTAAGCCTCACACCTCTAGTTTTATTGGTGTATTATGATAACTCTTTATGGTCTAGATTCCCTGGAGCAGAATGCTAGATAAGGTCAAACAGTTAATGCATTTTTAAAATTATTATTGTTGTCCAAAACAACTTGCAAACCTAAGGATGCGAGCGCACATGTAAATGCAGTTCTGTTTCAGTTCATAATTTTCTCATTTTTACCTCATCGTCAGAAAATGAAGGGCCATTTGAGACTGCTGAACATAGCATGTGCAGCCAAGGCTAAGTGGAGACAGATCACTCTGCAGAAGGCATCTAGGGAATCACCGCTCCACTTCAGCGTGCAGGGCGGCAGCGAGAGAGGATTTGGCATCTTTGTCGAGTCGGTGGAAGAAGGAAGCAAAGCTGCAGAAGCAGGACTCAAAAGGGGGGATCAGGTAAGAGGACAGTAAGGAATAGTGTGGTGAAGTCCTAATATACATACACCACTGCATGAAATGCACAGTATATATATATATAGGTGTAATTACTTTTACTTTGCAATCCTGGCAAGTACTTTATTCCATTTAAATGCATCCCTAGATGTTAATTAGTCCCCAATTAAACAGTTATAACGAGGACCATCACGGCGCTTCAGTCAACTAGTTCCCAGATGATTGTGGACTGTATAGCATGCAGTAACATAATTAAATGTTCTGTGTGATGTGATCCACCCCGATCAACTTAAAAATCATAATAAATATATATTTATTAGAATCTTTCAGGTTTTAGCTCTTCCCAGCAGGAGTACTGATCTTTTACCGCAGTATATCACTTCAGCATAGTCTCATGATTTGGTTCGTCCAGCGGTTACAAGGTCAGCAGTCTTATTTAGAGGATCTAATGCGACAGTGTGGTTACTGTACAGTGGTCTGTCACACAGATTCTTCCCATTGCTGGTGCGTAATGAGCCTTTCGTCAGCACACTGCAGCCTGTTAATTAGAAAGTCTGATCATGTTTAGTGACTTCTCTAAATTGTTAAGATGCCATTTAGAGTGGATGTTAGGAAGGGCAAAAAAAATGCAAATCATGACTTTGAAAAATCATCTCAGTGTTGACAGAATCATGCATTTCTTCTTAAAGGCTGATCAGCATTCAGGGAATGAAAGAGGGAAGTAAAAACAGTAGTGCTATCCTCATAGTCAGTCAAACTGGAGTAAAGATTTATTTCTCAGCATAACAAGCAGGAGCTTGGAGTCTGGTCAGTATTTAGGGAACGGAAAAAGGAACTTGAAACAATAAAGCCAAGTCCTTACATATATCTGCCCTGCAGCTCTCGTTACCTCAAACCTGGACAAAGAGTCACTCATTAAAACGGAAGTTGAGTGGTTTTGAGGGCCAAATGTAGATTTATTCATCAACTCAGCAGGGAGTTGAAGCTTAGATGGCAATAATTACTAGATTAGATTAAGATGGTCTGAGTATTAAAGCCATCAACTGTCATTCACACAGATATCATTACCAGCTGGAATTTAGGTTCGCGGTATAACTAATGAAGGTATTTGAAGAAGACAGTTCTGTTATAACGGTGGTTAAAGTGAAGGTCTGGCTTCCTGTAGCTGCACATCAGAAGAACTTCATAATGACTCATCTTGTCTGTATTTGTGTCGCTAGCCTTTGTGCTTGTTGTTGACACAGTTACAGTTCAGATATCCTTGTGCTGAACGTGTCACAGTGAGAAAACAGTTAGCCCTGAGCTATTTTAATCTGGGACCCTTTACTGTTGCTGTCAGGGACGCTGTGAATGAGACTGAAATAGTTTGTGGTATTTTTTTTCACAACCTCACTGTAAGGACTCTTATACTTGATGCAGGTGAACTGCTTTCACATTTTTTGATTGACTTACTGCTTTTTAAAAACAAACTGTACAATATTCACTTGAAGCAGATTCTTCTCCTCTAAAGGTGGCAAGAAATGAACTCTCAACCGTTTCTTCCCGTTCTGAGTCATAGAGGACCAGAGCCACCTTATTAAGAGATACGCCGAGTTAAGAGAAATAAAAATAATACCAGCTGTGTTTCAGATTTGAGTCGAAGATCTACATTATGTTTTTGTCACAGTAATTTGATTTGTGCTTATGAGACTAGTGGTCACCCCTGCTGTGCTTCAGGCAGTTTTGATTCTTTGCTGCCATGTTTTTCATTTTTGAATCTATCTTGCTTCAGATCATGGAGATCAATGGTCAGAACTTTGAGAACATCTCCCTCTCCAAAGCTGCAGACATCCTACGAAATAACACACACCTCTCCCTCACAGTTAAAACCAACATCTTTGGTGAGTACATTTGGTTGCACGCCAGTTTTTGACATCCTATCACAAGCTGTAAAAGATGGTAGAAAACCCACGAAGGTGTAAAAATATAAAATAAAACAAAGCTACATTTCTCTCTGTTCCTCCTCCCATTCAGTCTTCAAAGAGCTCCTTAGCAGGATCGCGCATGAGAAGAAGAACGGCGGCCTTCACATTCCCAAGATCCAGGAGAAAAAAGGCAATCGTTTCTCCATCGCCGACCTTCCCGGAGACATGGAGTTCCCCACTGACCACAAGGCCACCCGAAAAATGAAGGCCAACACTGTGTCTGGAGGACGAAACAAGATCAGGAAGATGCTGGAGAAGACGCGCTTCAGTATACTGCCACCTAAACCTTTCAGGTAGGCGTACACATGTGTAAAAAAAGAAAAACGGAGAAGAACTGCTGCCTGTATAAGCTTAAAGTAAAATTAAGTATAGAAGAAAATACTGTAAGGCTGGGATAGCGAAAATGGGGAGAGGATTTTTTGATGTTGGCAAAAAAGTGTAGTAATTTAGTAGTAGTAATTTTGTAGTAACAAAAATAGCATGCCATGAATCGAATGGTTTATGGGAGGGTGTTAGCACATTAGTGAGCTCAAGTGGTTTTCCTTGACAGCTTCAGACAGGGTGTGATTGCATCAGTCCACTTCCTTTCCATTGGTGGTTTTATTTGTACATAATTTTCTTCAGCAGGTGTGCAATTGTGACTTACTGACTAAAGTTCCTCGGTGCCCATCAGAAAGCATCAGCGTAGCACATTTTACCCTCTTCTTTCAGCTCGTGACAGTAGGAAATTGATGACGACTAAAATGCCTGCACACATTTATAGATAAGTGGTGTTTCAGAGTCCAACCAATTCAACACAAACTACAGGGACCTCTTCCTGAAAAGATACCTTAGCTGCATGAAATGTCAGATTTTCATCAGTGAGCACTGCTGTGGAAGTGCACAGCCTTTCACAGGACCAGCACAGAAAACTTCCAGGTACTGTTGGGTATTTACGAGGAATTTCCATTTCTGGAAGTTTCACAAGCTTGAGAAGCCTGGCGGTTCAGCCTCAGTCTAATCCGCCTAATCTTTCACGTATTTTCAGCCGGCGTGATGCAGATCTTTTCTAGGCAAATCACAAGAACGCAAAAAAACATTATCATCTCATAAGCATTGCCAATCCATAACCAGCCATTGTACTGGCAAGCATCTGCGGCAATCGAGGCTCACATTCAGTACTCCTCCCGTAACAGGCTTGATTTCATTTGATCATTTCATGCCTCTCCAGGCCTCATTTAAATCCGTACTGTGACTGTGTAGACAGGAACCCTGTTCTCTGTTAATTACAGAGCCGGCTCACTCAACTTTTCTGTCTCGCTGTCGCCGCTCTATCAGTTTCCATCTTCGCAGTGATGTCCACAAAGCCACAGAGTTCGCACGAAAAGTAAACGCGCTCCGTCTCATGACGCAACACACTATCACACGGCTATTGAACCGACTTTGTGCTATCAAAGCAAAAAAGGACTTTCATTGCTTCCTCTTTTTCTTTTTTTTCTCTCTGCAAGTTGGCACCATTCAAAGAGCCTTTGGTTCAAAGGAATAGATGGATGATTAAAGGGAGTGGAGATGAGAATGGAGATGAGACTGGTGATTTGGGTCAATCATGATTCATCAGTGCCTGTTGTGGGATGAAAATTTGAGGGGAGGCCATCATGTGAAGTTGTCTACATTTTGTGTGTCTGTTTGCGCGCGTATGTATGCCTATATAAGAAAGGTACGGGCTGTTCCGAGGACAGTGCACTTTATAAAGTGCAGTTAAAATTATGCGCACACTCTTACAATTCACAGTTAAGTCAGAAAACCTTGTGTTTTAAGACTCAACGGTGCTCCAGCCAAACTGGGTTATTTACGAAGTGATCGTCACGGCGGCTGCTTCTTCTGATCTTGGACGTCATTGTACTCCACTGCAGAGTAGATTTTTATATGACAAGGGGACGCAGGCAGTAAACACGTTGTCTCTCTGCCAAATGAAGATGTCCAGCCTTGTGCATTTGCCTTAATACACATCCCATATTATTCACCCCAGATGATTTACATTGCTTAGATTGAAAAGCAATACACTGAGGTTTTAGCCTCTAGCCTCTACTCAGTTTGTCTTTCAAGTCTTTGCTATTTGCATCCCCCCTTTCTTTTTGTTACAGTTACATTTGCTAACTTATGATATGACCACAATAACGAGTGTGTTTTTTAACGATTGTTTCTGCCATGACCTCCACTTTTTATTGCAGTTATGGCTTTACTGTAAATTGTCCAGGACATTATTATTCTCACAGATACTGATTTGCCTTTACAGCAGATTAAACAATAGGAAGAATCCTTTGGACTAGTTAGATAGTTAGCTTTTGTTGCCAGACTGTTAACAACTAGTAAACTGGAGCTTCATCTAATCTAATCTAAGCTCATACTTCCTGATTTTTCGGATTGGATGGATATTTAGGTGTGCGGTTTGGTTGACTGACCGTTGATTTTTGGGACTGCACTTTCAGATTATGTGAAAAGTGGTGCTAGTGTGTCATTTGTTTAGTATTTACATCATTTAAAGACTGAGGATGTGAGGAGGCCCGCAAAACAGCTCTACCACTGCTGAGCAGTTCACGACATGCTGGTAGCAGCGATGTTACAATACAATACAACTTTATTTGTATAGCACATTTAAAACCAGCGCTACACCAAAGTGCTTTACAGTAATACATATTGTGCTCATACATTAGCATACATTGTGCTAATACATGTTGTGCTCATCTGAGTCTCCAAATTAGTTTTCTTCACCCTTCTTTCATGTCAAACTATGTGTAGTTTATGTTGCTGTTAAACTGCATTATATCAGATAGAGGGGTGATCCTATTATTTAGCCTGATCTCAAACTGGGTTGATGAGTGATATGAGCGATCCTCATGTGTGTCCTGCTGCTGCTTGCTAACGTCTCATGTTGTGGCTAAATCTGTGCTGGCGTTATGAAAGTTGCTGTTGACATTTTTCTGCTTATTTATTTCAGCGAACCTGTCAGTGGTTGTGCGTCCCGTCAGCCTACATGTTTGTTTGGGCCGTGTGTTTGTGCGAAGAAAGCAGCCTTGTCATACACAGGCATTGTCTCACTGCTACACTGACATTGCTGAATCACTTCAGCAGAAATCTGTTTTGTTTTGTTTGTTTGTTTTTCACTTTTTCACACTTTTCAATGTTGTCTCTCTCCCGTTTGCCTCCGCTGCTTCAGGGGCCTGTTTGGGTAAGACCTCTTGCGTAACTCCCCATCCTCCAGCCATTTTATTCAGTATCCATCTGTAGACCTGCGCACAGCAGGCAGCCGCATTTTCACCGGCACTGCTGACCTTCAGCAACATGACTAGAGGACTACATTTGTAGGTTTAATTCCTTAAATGCATGAATGCCAGCCTTCGCTTCATTTTCCTAATCAAACAAACTCTGCAGCTACATTTATGTTCAGGGCTTTAACATATTGAACTCAGTTACACTATGTTGTACAGCCAAATGTATTTTATTTAGGGTTATTACAAACAGAAACGGTAATGGCTACAAACTGTTTTGGTCCATTTAACAGTCAGAACAGCTGCCATCTAAATACAGCAGATGAGTATTTGTGCTATAAACTAATTAACTTCTTGAAAACTTTGTAATCATCATCTCCGGCCAAAAATAATTTCAATTTCTGTACATTGGTGCTTGTAATTGTGATCAACAGCAACCCATGCTTGTCATAACTAAACTAAAGAGCCACCAAAGTCTTAGTCTAGTCTTTTAAACCCAATCCTATCACTGCCTGTCTCAATGTCACTGTTGTCCGCCTCCTAAATCTTTTTGTCCTTTTCTTGCTTGTTCTTCGTCCACCTGTGCCCGTCTTTCCATCTCCCCGTCTCAACTCTTTTGTTCCGTCGTGTCGGTGCAGTGCCTGTCAGCTGGGTGATCCAAAGATTACAGAGGCTTTGCTACAGCAGCGTGCAGCTGTGTTAGTGGAAGCCCTGCATTACTGCACCGTGTTCCGTACATGCTGTACAGACACTCACACCTAGAGGGAAGCTGCGATTAGTATGCAGGCAGACTGGGGTGAACTCTCGCTGTCAGACACTACAGTTTCTCAAAGTCAGAAAGATCCATTTGTCATCTGCAGGATGTTCAATCCCTGCTTTGTTTCTTATTTTTAGCATGCGGCATTTTAAAATTTGCTGCTTTCAATCGAAGCTTCCACAGCTACAAAGGTTTTCTTCAAAGCTTCAGATGACACATTTTTCATTTCAGGTAGGTTTTTGGAGGCTAAATCCGAACACCCGACCTCTGTTTTAGTGTCTGAAGAGTTACCATCTCCATCACATGCTTCCCAATCAAGAGAGGCCAGAATGAGGTTGTTAATATAAAGGTTAAAGCTCGCATATCCCAGAGTGTAGCTGAGGAGCAAAGTGTAAAGTCTCTCAGACTCAGTGCAGGGTTGCAATCTGTCCAACTCAACACACACAGGAAGGATTAAAGAAGCCAAATCCTAACACTTGTCTGCAAAAGCAGAGCGACCTACACACATGCAAAGTAACGGTAATTATATAACTGACTAAAAAATCCCCACGACTTTCAAATGTGCTCCTCTGAAATGTTCCTATCTGTGCCAGCTATCTGTCATTGTTCTCTCTGTGCGTGTGCGTGTTTTACCATTTGCTGTGCGTCTCTCGCTCTCCGTGAATGCTCCTTATCAGTTCTCGCCATTCATAAAATCTCCTCGTGGACGAATGTCAGCGTTGTGACTGCTGCATATTAAAAGACACATATAATGATATTGATGTTTTGTGTTTTCATTTTGCAAGAGTAAACATTTTGATTAAATCTCTGTTTTATTCCACCGTGTTATGAGTTGTGATTTTTTTATTATTATTTTTTTTTTAAATATATCCTGAAGATGATGGGGAATGCACTAGTACCTATGCTTACAACTCATAACATTTTTTTTATGCCTGCTGAGCATCATAAAACTTTTACTTTTATTCTAATTATATTTTAATTATAGTTTTGTCTTTAATGGAATAAGTCTAATTTTATGTTTCTCTCTTTTCCTCCCCTTTGCTTAATTTCCTCCTCCCTTCACTACCTTTTTCTCCCACTCTGCACCGCTCCTGAATTTTGTCTCCAGTGATGGCGGCTTAGTTCAGTCTCAAGATGACAGCATTGTGGGTACAAAGCAGTGCCGTCACAGCGTGGCCATCATGCCCATTCCTGGCAACCTATCATCAAGTAGCCCAGACCTGCTACAGCCAGCAAGCAGCGTCCTGGACTTCTCCATCCCTGCAGGTAAGAAAAACACGGTAAATGGCCATCACAGTTAACAGACAAGTTTGCTTGTTCATCTGAAAAAAAAAATCCTTAGCAAAATGTTTTTCCTGGGATTTTCTGGGTGTTTATGAAACCGTTTTCCCACCATTCACATTTAGCTGTAATAGTCTCCAGCTGTGAGCGGTTCCTCTAAATGCTTTATGCAACTCACTATGATACAGTAATGAAGACACCACATACTCAAATGAGTGCGTAATTTGGCACTGGGGCTAACTTTTTCTTTTACTTTCCAGCGTTGAATTATTACTGACAAGTCAGTTTCACTCACTTTTTGTTTTGATTTACAGTTTACATCAAAGTTCTGTTGTGTTGTAAAAGTTCTGCTTTTCTCAGCTTTCTCAATAAAAGCTTAAATGAAAGTAGCGATGGCGATAATGTGGAGAGAAACAAAAAAGAGCCATCTTTCATAACGAGCTTTCTGTATTGTCTCTGATTTAAAGCTGTGGGAGGGCGTGCCGTCCTACTAAATTTATTTGATGATGTGCGTATATCTCGAGGAAAAACATGTCTGGCCGTTCACTTAAAGTGAAACAGAAAAGTTAACGTCTTGCTACAAAACTTTAACTCATAAAAGAAAAATATCGTCATATATTTGCAGCCTGAGACGCCACTTAGAATTTCAGTTGTCTCGGCCGGAGTTCACGGCTGCTCGTATGAGGAGGCTTGACCTGTGACCCTGGCCTTTTTGAACAGTATAAGCTGCTTGTGGAGTTGAAGGACTTGCTGAGTACTGAGCAAACAGCCTGTCACCCTTGAACGCATTAAGCATCCATCTGCCGACTGTAGTGTTGTCGAGTGCACTTTGGGGGTGGGTTCATTTTAAGCCTTTCCTCTTATTTGTTCACCTTGAGAAACAGGCAAACTCCTCAAAACACTTTCTTGTGCTGACAAAGGAGTTTTAAAGCAAACGCACACATCCTGAGTTGCACAGAAATGTACATGCAGAAATGTGGCTGTTTGACAAGACCTGACCTCGGCTTGACTCAGACGAGTTCCTGAGCCCATAATTATTTAAACTAACACGCAGCATTCCCCGTGGATTTGTGTGTTATTTATGTGTACATTCAGTGAAAGATCGAAGGGGAAAGCGGAAAGTGGCCGAGACAGAATACGGTCTTGATTTATTCCACTAGCCATTTGTCAGTGAGCCGCACACACTCGGACAGACGCACGTGCACACGCGCTGTAGTTTGCAGACCTATACATCACATGTGGTTGTGTTATACTAGAGTACAAACACACAACTGTGCCACATTAATCATCCGCCATTAGATCAAATTTCCTTCGGTCCTGCGGCCTCCCATTAGCTCTAATCGTAGAATGAAGAACAGCTTGCAGAAATAAAAACCTCCTTTTCCAGATGCTCTGCAGAGCTTGTAATACCCCCAACAATGCCCTGCCTATGCACTAATATTTCTTTCCCCAAGTCCATACTGGGCAGGAGGTCTAATGGAAAGTGCTGGCTGCCAATGTTTAGGAAAATTTGTATTTTTTTCTCATGTGTTTTGTCTCATTAACTTTCAGATTGGTTTTCATTTTGATGGTTTTAGACTTTTCTTGGCTTATTTTATAGCACCATTTAAGTTGCACTTATAGAATTTCATTACTAGAAATGTTTCTTTGTAATAGAAAAGCTATTATAAATTCATTTTGTGCCACTTTGCCCTGTAAGTCACTGCCCAGTTTTATCTGAGAGGCTTAATAATCAATGCTTAGTTAGGGAACAAAAGCAGGCAATAATCATAATGGAGATGAACTAGAGCCCTGCTTTTACCAGGTATTTGTGTAACTTTTACCACACTTTATGTTGCCCATACATTCCTGCTTCAGCCATCACAGGCTGAATCGGTTAGAGAGGCAGAGCCGGAATTGCTTTAGAAGTAGAGTACGAGTGTTTTCTCTGGAGGCTGCTGCTTATGTCTTGTCTCATTTCGCAAAGTGGCATTGTGTCTGCGTGTCTGATGTACAACTCTGCGTGAAGCTAAACCCACAGATGCTCACTCGCTTCTGTGTCTTTTTGCCACTGTCGCTCTCTCTTTTTCTTTTTTTCCCTCCGCTTCTTCAGTCCTTTACTGTCTCTCTCTCCTCTCGCGCGTCTCTTGCTGTGATTTTAAACAGATGTTCTGGTGTCGACATGTTGAGTCATACTCTGCCTCTCTGGTTTCCCATAAGCAGATTCAGGATACACTAGAAACTCAGCTGGTCTTCCCTCCTTTTCGTTTTTCTTTTTTTCTTCTTCATCTGTCATAATGTTTCCAACTGCTGTGTCTCTTTGTGCTCCTCCCACACTCTCTTGTGCTTGTAATTACTTGTGTTTTCTCTTTTTCCTCTCTGCTTGCCAAGCTTTGGGACTCTACTGTAAGTATAAGGATATTTCATTGCCACTGTTGGATAGCCCACACAGACACACACACACACACACACACACACACACACACAC